AGAAGCAGAGGGAACAGGAAAACGATGGCAACGGCAGACAACAGCAAAATCAGGAAGAAAGGGAACGGAGGAACAAAAAGAAGATGCGCATGGAGAAGCTAAGAGACAAAAGCGTCGAAACACAAAACCAGAAAGAAGACTACAAACGCAAGAGAAAGCAAAAAAGAGGAAGGAGGGAAGACAAAGGAGGAAATAGAGTCCGAGTTCCTTTCATCAGCACACAGCCGACGTTCCTCTCAATACCTGTCTCCCCCAGTTTTCCCCTTCGCTTCTTGCCTTCGAAAGTCCTTAACACTCTCATTCTGTCGGTGTCATCGCACGAAGCCCGACATCGAGCGAGCTACACGCACCGGCTCCGGGATCTCGCTCTCCTCGCTCGGTCCTCTCCACTCTTCCTCGCGAGATCCTGCAGCTTTCGACGGGAAAGAATTAGAATACGAAGGAGGACCGGCGAGGAATCGAACGGGGGAGAAGCAGCGGAACGAAGATATAGAGCAGGGGTGGAAATGAGATTTCCAGGGGCAATTTGAAACGAGTTTGCCTGTAAAAGGGTCGAGATGGAGGTCTCGAAACGAAGAAGAAGTGGCGGCGACGAGGTCGAGGACTGGCGAGGCGGGAAACGAAGAGAAACGCTCGCCCGCCCGACCGCGCGCGCGCGCGCACCGCTGTAAGAATGGAAATACTTCGGAGCGAAACGTGGAAGGGAACGAACGGGAAAAGTGTCGGCGCGGAACGAGCTGCTTTATTATGACTTCCCGGGGAAAATTTATCTCGTGGCCACCCTCCGGCTCCTTTGATCCCTTTCTCGTTCGGCTCCTCTGGCGGGCCCTGGACCGATTTCGAGGGGGCTCGAGGAGAACGAGGGGCCACGGATCAAGGGAATGGAATAGAGACGCCGAGGAACTCGCAAGAGGAGGCTCGAGATCACCGGGACTGATTAGAAGTGGAGGAGAAAGAGTTTTTTTTGGATAAACAATATTTTTAATATATGACTCGCAATTTGACGAGGAATCTAAAGCAAATCTCGTAGGATATGTACATTTGGGTATGTTCGTTTCAATCGCTGATTTTCTAAAATTACGGGGACTGATTAGAAGTGTCGCAGAAAGAGTTTTATTTGTGTAAACAATATTTTTAGTGGACGACTCGCGATTTGACGAGGAATCTAAAGCAAATCTCGTAGGACACATTTGGGTATATTCTCAATCGCTGATCATCTAGAACGTTCTTTCGTCACTGCGCGTTAATTTTAAGTATCTAAAATTACGGGGACTGATTAGAAGTCTCGGAGAAAGAGTTTTATTTGTGTAAACAATATTTTTAGTGGACGACTCGCGATTAGACGAGGAATCTAAAGTAAATCTCGTAGGATACATTTGGGTATATTCTCAATCGCTGATTTTTTATAACATTCTTTCGTCACTGTTAACTTTACGCACTTGAAATTACATAATTAAAATTCCGCGATCATTGATCAACACGTTCAGTCCACAGAACGAGTGTCTTTCTCGTAGATAATTAATTCGTTTGATTGTCTTACGAGTTTAGGTTCGTTTTTCTGTGTTTCTGGTTCGCTGTAAGGACTCTGGGATGACTGGATTTAATATTCGAGGTGTGAAGAGCTGTTGAACAATGATTCTATGAGGTGGAATGAGGGGTGGTTTTGTTTCGCCGAGTGGGAGTCGGGTTTTTGGGGCGATCCGGTGCATGTGCACTTGACTCGTATTGGGAAATTCTTGATGGACGTTTGTGTTTCTTTCGAGTTGCTAGCTGCTGTTAGTCTTTCGTTTTCGATGGGAATTTCGCGTTAATAGATGGCTGAGTAGCTGTCGTTTATTAATTAGAATAATTAATCGTTCTCATAATTCCTCTTGCAGTTGAACGAAGCAGAAATTCGAATTTATAGCTTCTAAAAAGTGTAAATAAGAATCTATCAACTTTCCAAAAACGATCGTTAACAGTTAATCTCATTAAAATTCTCTCCGATTATTCACGAATAAATTGAATTTAATAGATTCAATTACACTTGTAACGAAGTGGATTCGCGGGGTTATCCGGGTCCGCTCCGGTTTGCCGGCTAAAGGATTAAGGAGAGAAATGTGCCGGATTACGTTAAGATGTACAACGTTAACTTCCCAAGTTTTGGCTGACTTGAAACGCATTCCGTCGCCTTAGCGCGGCTTAAACCGTAGTAATACTGCTCCCGGGCGGCAGACAATGTTAACCCGTTCCCGTCAAATTTATTTGTCCCGCGACCATTAATAAAAGAACGCGGACGAACGGTGCTCTCCTCCGTTGCGTCGGGATTACTCTTCGTCTTATCTTTCGCCCCGCTACTCGTCCCTTTCGTTCTTTTTAATAAAATTGTCTTCGCAATTTTGAGGGGGACTGCCGGCGTCAGCGAAAAACTTCGGAGTCTCGCATAAATTCGCGGGACGCGACGGGGTGGGGGGAAATCGTAGGAAAGTTCGCGCGGCGGAAAGTTCGCATCCGTTATCGTTGAGATACCGTGGCATTATCGGGCCATCCAGCCGGCCGAGGGGGAAAAAATAGGAATCCTCGCGTATTCTACGCTCGTAACCGGGGAATACGTTTCAATTACTGTCAAAATATGAAACTCCTCGGGAAATATTTGACGGAGAACCCTCCCTTGTCGCCGACACCCTCGTGAAACAATCCTCGATCCTTCCTCGCACGCGCGCCGCGTCGCCTGACGTTCGGCGGACACATTTCTGCTGTATTTTCCTTCAGGGAAGATGGAAATATTTGTTCTATTGTCGGGGAGCTTGGGATTACATTGTGGAAATAGCGGAGTGGAAAATATGGAGCGTGCGTAATAATCGTGGATTATATTCCGTTTACGTTTGCGAAGATCGACAGCGCATTGGTTTCTCGAAGTGTACGTTACCTGGGAATTAACTCAGCCTAATTAATATAAACTCCTACGAAACCTTTATTGTTATAAAACTCTCGAGATTTATGTATCATTTTCTGGAATAATGTTCTGAAGCATTGATTCTTAGCCAAAATCTTACAAGAATGCCAGATGTAAAAATCTGTTTCATTGAAACTCTATGCATGTTGTAGAATAACTATATAAAACTATATAAAAATGTGTAATGCATTGATTGTTAACCAAAATCTTAAAAAAATACCAGACGTAAAAATCTGAATATATCTACAAATAAAAAACCCTCGTAGCTTTTTTAATGGTCCTAAATTTTCGAAACACCTAAGTTTCAAGTTGTCACTGTGATACGTAATAGTATAACATACATAGTGTTCAATTGGAAAACAGATTGTTGTGTCCGACGATATCCCTGTTAGTCGAGCGCAGAATCGGAAAGTGAGCCGCGCAAGAAAGCCGAAAATCGTTGGAATAATTACGACGGGAAGGGTTAATCGTGTTCGCAGGAATGAAAATAATTTCCCGCGGAGCAATTCGGTACGTTCCAACAAGCGGTTAATTAGTTGGCGAATGAATGGCGAAAGAACCGGTGAGCAGGCATTGTTCGGCGAGTGTGCCGTTTCGCGAGAGGGACGGAGAGGAGTGGAGAGGGGTGTAGAGGGAGAGGCGAGAGCCGGGCGAGAGAGGGCGATTGAGGATAAGGCAGCATTTAGTAAACCATTGGCACGCGGTTCGCTCCCCTGCTCCATCTGGTCCCCACTTAACCTTAAAACGCGGATTCTCGTTTACGCCCCGCGGAGATTGATAGCAGTTGTGTTTGGTCTCTCTCGTAGGAAGTGGCTGAGCACCCGCGGGACAACACGGCAACTGCGGAAACGGGAGAGGGCGAGGAGAAGTCCAGAAGAGAGGAGGAAGTCTGATCGAATAACCGGGCAAACTTAAAAACGAATTCTGGGTCAAGGTGAGTCCACTCTTTCGCCCGCAATTATTATCCTTTCCAGATTCCATTGAATTCCTGTGTGTTGTTTTAGTCGGGCATTTATTAGTTCTGTTTTTAATGGAAATATTTGTTCGGTCCGAGTGCAGTTTATTTGATTTTTGGGGAGGTAATAATTCGGGTTTGCTAGTTAGAAATGAGCAATGACTAGGAATATTAGCTTCTGGTTGTTAATTATTAGGGAAATCAGGTTATCTAAAGATAGTCTTGAAATAAAATAGAAATGGAAATGACGAGGAATATTAGCTTCTGGTTGTTAATTATTAGGGAAATTAGGTTATAGAAAGATAGCCTTGAAATAAAATAGAAATGGAAATTGAAGAGGAATATTAGTTTCTGGTTGTTAATTATTAGGGAGACCAGGTTATCTAAAGATAGTCTTGAAATGAAATAAAAATGGAAGTAACGAGGAATATTAATTTCTTCTGGTAATTAATTATTAGGGAAACCAGTTCATCGAAAGATACTGTCGAAGTAAAATAGAAATGGAAGTAACGAGGAATATTAGCTTCTTCTGGTAATTAATTATTAGCGAAACCACTTCATCGAAAGATACTGTCGAAGTAAAATAGAACTGGAAATAGAACAATGAAATGGTAATAAGTATTCCTACACGTTTAATTATGAAAACCATCGATCCACTACGTTCCATTAATAAGAATAGTGATATTATAAATTCAATTGTGACGAATATCAGTTATTCCAGGTGGTACTACCAAACTAGATTCACTAGCGCCATTAACAAAAGTACCGATACCACTTAAGCACTCTTTTAATAGAATCCACGGTTCCCGAAAAGTTTCGCTGAAGATTATTAATTCCCCAGGCTTCATTTCTGAAACAGATATCACAGCGCGCCCGACTCTAAACAATTCGGAACTTTTTAAAGACTTTGGACACAATTGGAGAGAGAGATCCACGAGAAACTTGTTATAGAATTAAGAGGAATTTAGCAAGAGTTGTTCAAAAGTTCTTCACGCGGTGCAACATTAAGCGAGCCGAAGTTTTAAGCTACAAATAGGAATACCGGTCGCTCTTGCCAAGTATTAGAGCAACGCTGGTGTGTTTGATTCAAAGAAGCTCCAATGATTAATCAGCATAAGTACAATTCAACGGTCTGTCGATCTATACTGTAGTACTTAACCCTTTGAACTCCGTAGGCTCCAATATTAAAGAAACTACCCTACAATTATTCGATTTTTCACACATCCAAATTTTGCAAGGAAAATAAAAGATCTAAAAAATGTTTTAGCATTTTTCATTTTCGCTAGGGATACTATAAAAATTAGCTGTAGTTGCTATAGATTACAGAACCATCTAGAGTGCTAAGGGTTAATTAACACTAATTTTACCAAGTAATTAGATTGAACTTTTAGAATGTCTCTATAGAAACTCGAGTGCATCTATCGACACCAGTTGATCTACAATTCAGTTATCCTATCGCCAAATCGATTTCTCTAATAATTCCTCAGAGAAACATTTGTTATCTTAACAATTAATCATTCCCTGTCAACAAACTATATTTTCTATATTCGTTATACGAGTTATCACGATTCCCCACGCAGTATTCCAGACAAACAGAGAACAACCAACGGATAAGTTGAACATTTCAAGTATCAAACTCTCTAATTCTCGTTGAATGGAAATTCGGACCGGCCCCGATGTTCACGATCGACAACTGTCGCGGGGGAGACAGCCAGCCGGCAATCCCGCAGAAATTTCTGTCAGATTCAACCGTGGAGATTCTGCGGAACTTTTGAATAAACTTTGATTGCCTGTTGCCAGTGAAAGCGACCGCGAGTTGGCAGCGATCGTCGTCTCCGCCGCTAATTAATTTCGGCTCACCGATTTCTCGGAAAGTTTCAACGAGGTCCAGGCCGCGCTTCCCGCGGGACGTAACCTTGTAGCTGGATCGGGGCCGGAGAAAACAGGGGCGCGAAGGAGAAAGACGGGGATCCGGGGGACCGAGGGGCTGTGAACGCGACCGAGTGCTTGTCTCCGATATCCTCGGAAGCCTTGGGGTCGGATATCAGTCTGGCAGGGGCATTTCAAGTTCGCCTAAGCAGAAACAGACTCGTTTCCGAGTTAGCTCGGATTAATTCTGAAAGTTCCGCCATCCGAGCGAAGGGTTGACCGACGGAGGCGGTTAGGCTAGCGGGAAACACGGATAATTCAATCTCGCTGCTTGGGACTTGAGTTCCTCGGACTTGGTGTCTTGTGTTTTATAACATTCTTGAGAACTGTTGACTGGTTTTCATAGTTTTTGGTGATATCCTTTCCTTGAGATCGTTTCAAGATTTAGGAGGAATTTGAACGTGTAGTTAGTCTAGTTCTAGTTCTGGTGGTAAATTAGAAAGTAAATGGAGTCATTTGTTAGTAACGATCATTGTTAGATAAGTTTAAAACTTCATTCTTAGTCAGACATAACTTTAAAATGTATACGCGCTTTTTTAATGACGAAGTAGGGTCTTGAATCTTTTACAGAGGCACGCTAGCTGATAGCTCATGTTAATTGCTGAAAGGTTATATTAAAATTTGCTGGGAGTGCAAAGGGTTAAAGGAAGTGTCTTGTTCGATAATTCTGTATCTGTGGTGAGAATTGTAATGTGAAGTTTGAAGTTGAATGGAATGATACAACTGAAAATAGATCATAGTACGGTTTTCTGTTGAATGTTGTAGAAATTTTCGGTGGGTAGTTATTCAAAACTGACATCATTACACACGGAATGTTTGCGTAGACTGTTCGAACAGGGTGGAAAAAAGGTTGCAAGCAAAATTAATGGGTCTGAGTGCTGTCCAATTAATCATGAACACGAGCTTTTCCACCATTGATCATCCGGCTGGTACTGGCATTGCCTTCTAGGCAAGAAACCAGCGGAAGTTCAGGTTCCCAGGGGTCACGGATGCTCGCGTGTCATGCATACACGTATGTATACACGTGCACGTGCATGGTAGCACGCGAATCGAGCCGGGACGAGATTTCAGACCGTGAGATTCCGTCGAACTAATACCCGCGGGGCAAGAAATTGCAAACGAGATCACATCGTCGGCACCTGAAATTAATCCTTCGCGTGCAACAGATGAGACGACGGTGCGTTACTCCTGCACCTTGAAATGTCTCGATTGCTGTTGCTTACATATTCAAATTTTCAGATTTTTAAATTTTTAAGCTTTCAAATTTTCAAATCTTCTAATCTTCTAATCTTCGAATATTCGAATCTTCACATCTTCAAATCTTCAAACCTTCAAACCTTCAATCTTCCAAACTTCCAAACTTCCAAACTTCCAAACTTCCAAACTTTCAAACTTTCCAACTTTCAAACTCTCAAACTTTCAAATTTTCAAATCTTCTAACCTTCTAATCTTCGAATCTTCGAATTTTTGAATCTTCGAATCTTCAAAT